AAGGAAGGAAGGAAGGAAGGAAGGAAGGAAGGAAGGAAGGAAGGAAGGAAGGAAGGAAGGAAAGAAGGAAAGAAGAAAAAATTTTAAAAAATAAAGATACATACATACATACTTATACATACATACAGAGAGAGATGAATTTTACTGGGACATCCGAGCCAGAATGTTGAAAGGATCTGTAGAAGTGTGCGACCATGAAGCTTAACTTAGCTTTACCAGGCCCCTTTATACCCAGGAAATACCACACTTCACTTGGCTAGGCCCATTTATGCCCAGAAATATCATTATCACATGTTTCTGTCTGCTTTGGTTTGAATGTCAGGAATGTCACTTATCAAGCAGGTAACCTTAGACATGCTGCCGGAGCTACACCATGTGATCATCTTCCATCTTAAAAACAGGAACGATACCAAAACCACACAATGTAGTCAAGTGTGCAGCACAGAGTGGAGCCAACACCTCACCTGGCTTTAAGACACACGCGTGTACATTTTAGCCAGCTGTCTCACAGGTTTGCTTTGAGAACACTTCCCCTTGTTGGTGAGTGTTTAGTCAGCCCAGCTATTATCTGAGGAGTCTATAAACTTAAGGGCCCCCATTAGACATTAGGGGTCTTTATTAAAAGGGGTATTTTAGCACCAGATGCCTTTGTCAGATGAAAACGTCTGAAGTCCCCTCCATCGCCTAAGAGGAATAAATGAAGGGGAAAAGCTGCTGTATAAATCTTTGACAAATCCCAGATGCCAACCAGAGGACCTGCTGGAAAAACTAAGCCCTCTGAGTCACACCATCCCAGAGGGGTCTGTCTTCCCGTGGAGTGCAATGTGGACGGTCCCGTGTATCTATAGGGAAACTGGAGACATTACATGGAAACTTCTAGAGCCCAAGTCCTCCCTATACATCTTCACCAGTTTTAAAATATCTCTTACTTATATCATTTTGGTGGTGAAGATTAAATCCAAGCCCTGGTCCAGATCTCTCAGTGTCTAATGAGAATGTGACAGGGAATAACTTCTTTGTTTAGTGACCTAGACAGAAGCAAGTCAAGGACCAGTTCAATCAACTTAGTATCAATTGTTTGACCCTAACTCAAATGAGAATTTAAAACACATCCCTCTGGCTTTAGCTCCAGGCAGCTAGAATCATGAGTCCCTGTCCTTGTGGATTAGGATTGTCAGCTTGGCCGACTATAGGATGACCTGGGAGCTGGCCCTCTGGGGGACTATCTTGGTTGAGTTAAATGCCGTGGGAAGGCCATGCTGATTGTGAGCAGGACTGCTCCCTGGGCAGGAGATCCTGGGTGATGTAAGCAGAGAAAACCAGCTGAGCCCCTGCACACTCTCGGGGCTCTGTTTCTTGACTGTGGGTGTCATGTGACCAGCTACGCCAAGCTCCGGCTGCCTTGACCTCCCCAGCATGATGGAATGCATACACCTTGAACTGTGACCCAGAATGACCCCCTTTCTCCTGTATTTTATCCCAATAACAGGAAAGGAAACGAAGATAGGTGTATTTTAGTTTATATACTAACAGGAGGCTCACAGATGTGACCACTTCATTCTGGGGAAAGAGGTGGCTCATACTCAGAAGAAGCCAGCAGCTGTCAGCGTAAACGTGGCGTGCACACACAATGGAATATTATTGGGACACAAACAAGAATAAAATCTGATTGTTTACAGCAACCTGAGGAGGAATGGATCCCACTGTGCTAAATGGCGTACACCAGGGACAGACAGACAGATAGTACATGTTCTTGCTAGAAGCTAAAACGAAAGTTGATCTCAGACAACTGAGTGGCCACTAGAGGGGAGGAGATGGTAAACGGGCTATGGTAGAGGAAGGTCAGGAGTCACACAGGATAAGTTCTCACGTTCCAGTTAGGAAGGGTGACTACAGTTTGCACCTTACAACTTTACAAAGGAGTCTGAAGGTTTTCAAGACAAGAAATAAGAAATGTTTAAGGAGATGGAAATGCTAATTGACCTGATTTGATGATTTCCCATTATATATATTAATGTACATATATACATCAATTATCATATTATCCTCTGAAAATGTGTGATTTTTAGGTTAAAACTAAGAAACTATATTTTGTGTTGGTGTGTGCACATGCATGTCAATGCACATGTGGAGGTCAGAGGTCAGCCTGTGGGAGTTGTTTCTTTTCTTCCACATTGTGGGCCCTGGAAATTAAACTCAGTTGTCAGACTTGGCAGTAAGTACCTAAACCATCTCGCTGGCTCCAAAATAAGAAAGTTTGAAAGTGCTACAGTCATAGAAGTTAAAAACCAAAGAAGGGCTAGGGATGCAGCTCAGTTGTCAGGGTGCTTTCTCAGCACGAACAGAGCCCTGGGTTTTGACCCTCAGCATAGCGTCAACAATGTGTTAGCACATGCCTATAATCTTAGCACTTGCGGAGGTGGAGGCAGGAGGACCAGGAGTCGAGGGTTATCCTCAGCTATACCAGTTCCAGAGCAGTCTGAGCTACAAGAGACCCCATCTCAAAACATAACAGGGGTTGCCAGGTGGTGCACACCTTTAATCCCAGTACTTGGACCCTCTGAGAGTTCAAGGCCAGCCTGGTCTACAGAATGAGTTCCAGGACAGTCAATGATATACAGAGAAACCTGGTTTCGAAAAAACAAAACAAAACAAATGGGCTTATCAGAGGATAACATGTTTACCTCCCAAGCATGAGGGTGTAGTTTTGATCCCCAGAGCCCACATGTCTTAGTTAGGGCTTCTATTAATGTGATAAAACAATATGACCAAAAGTAAGTTGACGAGTAAAGGGTTGATTTCATCTTAACAGCTTGTAGTCCATTATCCCAGGAAGTCAGGGCAGTGGAGTGGGACAATTGTCTATATTCTGTCAATTATATTTTAAATAAACGCTGATTGGCCAGTAGCCAGGCAGGAAGTATAGGTGGAACAACCAAATGGGAAGTAGAGGCAGGTCAATGAGAACAGGAGAATTCTGGGAAGGAGGAAGCCCATTTCTCCCCAGTCCTGCCCAGACACAAGGCAGAAGATAGGAAGATGTGACCAGCCTGTTATTTATACATACAGGGACCATCAGCCCAGGGGTGACACCCACAGAAAGCTGGGCCCTCCCACATTGATCATTGATCAAGAAAATGTACCATAGGCTTGACCACACACCAATATGGTGGGGGCATTTTCTCCGATGGAAATTTCTCAAATCTCCTTCTTCCCAAATGACTCTAGTTTGTGTCAGGCTAACATTGAACTAGCCAGTACACCACCAAAGCCATGTGCAGCAGAACATGCTGACAATCCCAGCATGCTTATGGCAAATGGGAGACAAAGGCCGGCAATTCCTGGGTGCCTGTGGGCCAGCTCTCCTCATGTAGCAGCAGCGAACAAGAGACTCTGCGTCAAAATGCAAATTGAGTTAACCTTACTGTAATACAGGCCACACCCACAAAGGCAGCTGTGACCCAGGCTATCAGGACTCCTGTTCCCCAAAGACAGGACTCTTCTGGGAATCAGGACAGGCAGCACGAGGCTCCCCCTGCTCTACAGAATTCCTGTAACTAGGAACAGTGAGATCTGCTGCAGAACCAATGTCTACATGCAGTCTGTTTTTTCTTGGAATGGGTAATTTTGAAAGAAAGAGCTCCTATGAAGCAATTACTGAAAAGCCAAAATGCGGATGCTGATTGGAACATGTCCAGTATAGTAACCAGCTGAGATAGGGCCCACTATGTTCTATTGATCTTGCAGATGATTGACAGGAGATTGATTTAAGGGTTTCAATTAAGTTGTAATCTATCTACCTCAAGGTCACTCCAACTGTGGGCTTTACCTGGAGACTTTCCTAACTTCAGCCAAGTGAGATTCCAGGAGAAAAACTATGAGTCAAGTTGACAGTACTCTTTATGTGACACCTTAGAAGTGGCACTTAGCCACTGTGCCCTTGAACCCCAAAGCTCCTAAGTCCATTCATCAGGAAAACATTAGACAAACACAAATCAGAACTGGGGAGATGACTCAGTGGGTGAGCATTTGCTGAGAACTATGATGTGCTGAGTTTGATCCCTGAAACCCGCATAAAACCCAGATGCAATGGTGTAAATCTCAGTGTACTCTCAGCACTCTTGCAGTGAGGCGGGAGGCAGTAACCAGAGGGACCCTGTCACCAACATGGCGGGAGAGAACTCCTTCTGAAAAGCTGTCCTCTGGTGTTGACAGAGGTTTCTTTCCCGTCCAGTCCTGCAGCCATTGAGTCCCAAAGAAACAAACAGGGGCTCAGGCTTCTTACTAACAACTCTTACATCTTAAATTAAGCCATAGTTCTTGTCTGTGTTAGCCATGTGGCTTGGTACCTTTTATCAGTGAGGCATTCTCATCTTGCTTCCTTTGTGTCCGGGTAATGACTGTAGACTGAACCTGGTTGCCCTGCCTAGACTTCCTGCCTAGCTACTGACCAATCAGCGTCTTATTAAACCAATACAGGTGACAAATCTTTACAGGGTACAAGACCATTGTCCCACAGCACTCTGGCCTCCACATGTTGACTGTGGCATCATTTGTCTATCACTTGTCAAAATGTCTATCACATCTGAAAGACTGGCGCTGGGAATGGGGACATAAAAATCAGCTGATACTCTGATTACCAGCAGAAAAGTTTTATTATTCCTTTTAAGGACAGACAAACCACACGCAAAGCCTTGACTTACAGACACAAACCAAAGAAGCCGTAGATATTAAGGTACGAGACACAGTAGGGGAAACCGCTTTGCCTCTGAGGTTCACACTGGTGTGGCTGTGACAGAGCTCCCTGGTGGCCTGGGAAGGGTGGAGGTAACGGGGCTGTGGAACGGAAGAGGACAGCTGTGGTTCTAAGTGCTAAAGCTGCAGACCAAGGGCAGGGCCGCGTGGGCCTGCCCAGGGGAAGGGGAGCGGCTGGTTTTCTCCCCTCCAGGACTTAGGCGGCTTTGCAGAGAGCCACTGCGGAGAAGCGGACTTCCCCCTGCTCACGCTCAGTGAATTCTCTGCAGACCTTGGCAGCATCCTGGAAAGGAGGGATGGTATTAGTATACGGAACCTGCTGGAGACAGGAATTTCAAAGAGAAAGCGTTTCCAAGGCCTAGTCAACCAGTAGAGCTGTTTTACCCTCTGATTTTCAGGTGAGCTTTATTTATTAAAACACAAATGAAATGATACTCTACTAGGGAACCTACTTATACCAAACCAAGCATGTGGAGTCATTTGTAATTGAGAGTGTGCATTAAAGCTGAGTCTGTGGTATAGTGCCCTGGCACCTGAGTCTTTTCCGTTGCCTCATCCACTGGTCAGCTTCCACCAGGCAGTGGAAACACACACCTTTAATCCCAGTAGCCACACTAGTTGCCATAGAAACCGGGCAGTGCACACCTTTAATTCCAGTCCTAGGGAAGATTATAAAATGGGAGGAGACAGCTCTGTGTCACTCTGAGATTCCTGGAACCAGGATCACCACTTTGGACTGGAGTTAAAGTAAGAGTCAGTGGCTGGCTACTTTGCTCTTTGCGTCTTTGGGTTGAACCCCAATTTCAGTCTTTGAGTTTTTAACGAGTCTAATGTGAGGTGACCAGATCTTTGATGTCTCAAAGCCTGGTCCTCTAAAAAAAGGGTCTCAATGTACAGTGGCCAAGGACCAGGGTTCCACTGTTGAATTCACAGAAGCCTTGGGCATTAGTCTGTGTCCTGAATCCTCATCTTGGAGAAAGGGGCAAGGCGTCTCACTTCCTGCATTATTCAGGGGACCACTCAACAGAAGGTAGAACTCAGAGAATCACCCAGCCTAGGAGTCAGCAACTGTGGCCTACAGGCCAAACCCAGCTTTCTTGCCAGTTTGGTGAACAAACCTTTGGCAGACACGGGTAGACACGTCTGTTTAGTTACCCTCTAGCAGAGCTTAGAGGGGCAGAAGCATCTCTGGGCACCTGTCACAGAGCCACGCACCACACAAAGCCCCAGTACTTCTTATCTTGCTCCTCACAGACAACCTTTGCTGACCCCCACTGTGTGCACACCAAGTGCTGAGGGAACATTAGCTGTTGTTGCCACGACAAATAAAGTCATACCTCAATGTCTTATATTTTATCATAAGACATTCCTTTGCAACAGCATGAGGATTCTTTTCTAAAGATGTATTTTTAGGTCAAAAAGGCCCAGTTCAGAACTAAGTTTTCAACAGTCACTCCTAGCAGGATAGGTGTACAGTCCTGAATCTTAAAGATTTTTTTTTAATTTTTTTAAGTATATGGGTGTTTTGCCTGCATGAGTACCTAGGTACTACTTGCATGCCTAGTGCCTGTGGAGGCAAGAAAAAGGCATCATATCCCCTGGAAAAGGAATTACGGATGATTGTGAGCCACCACGTGGTGCTAGGGACCAAACCCTGACCCTCTGCAAGTGCATCAGTATCCATCCACTAAGCCATCTTTTCAGCACTGTTTTTAGTTATGAGAATGTATGTGTGAGTTTGTACACGTTTGTGAATGCCCTAAAATCGCAATGACAGGGAGTTGGGAGCTGGGAGCTGCCTGGACAGTGGGTACTGGGAACTGAACTTGGGTCCTCTGTAAGAGCAGCACGCCACCTCTCTAGTCAAGTGATCCCGAATCCCCTGCTCTCCAATACCAGTAAAACATGGGGGAAGAAATTATATAATTTACCTAGCCAACATTTGTAACATATACCCAACAAGGCTAATCCGTACCGAGAAGCCTCAGAGGATTACGGAAGGTAAAGAAAATTGATATTCCACTCTTTAGTGATGGTGTAATCCTACAGGGCTACCTTAATCCCACACAAAAGCCAATCAATGGCTTTCAAGCCATTCTAGCTAAAGATGGCACACGAAACAGATTAGCCAGGGCTTCTTTGAAGGATCCTGTTTAAAACCACCTGCTATAAAGCGAGGCAGCTACGATGCCTAAAGGGCTCTTTAAGCACTAAAGAATGCTATTAACCAACACAGCTGACGCTGGCATTCTGAATGTCAGCACAATTACACAGAAGTAGTGGGAAAACGTGTGTCTGCAACGGAGAGAGATGCTTTCCCAGGATTACCTGCAGCAGAGCGTCCTCTGAACTGGCGCCGTGGTTCACGGGAAAGGGCATTCGCCCATCTAGAACAAAGAAGCCAGGCGGGTCAGCTTTCCTTACACATTTTCAGAATACAGTAGGTGCCCAACCCAGAAGGATTTTTAGATTCTTCCAAAGGCTGCTATCATCCCCACGAGGGAAACCTGATCTCAAAGCAACGGGATACAATGAGTTCGAGCACTCCTGGGCAGTCACTGATAATTCTAGTCTACAGCTGGGATCACACAGGTCTGACCTAGTTACCCTAACAGGGAACCATACCCCCCTGTTTTGGATAGAAGAGCGTCAGGCAGTCTCTACCGGAAAGAATGCTTTAGCGACAGCTGATTTCCTTGTCTCCTTTGCCTTTGTGAGTCTAAGTCTGAGAGGAGACAGCTATGAACCTTTTCCAGTAAAGTAAAAGGGACAAATTTTACAAGATGGATATTCCTTTTCGTTTCCATAAATAGAAGTGATGCTCAACCGATCCAAATTCACTTAACAACCTGGGAATGGTGGTGCATGCCTTTAATTCCAGCATTTAGGAGGTAAAGGCAAATTGATTTGTGAGTTCAAGGCCAGTCTGGTCTATATAGTGAGTTACAGGACAGCCAGGCATTGGTAAAGAGAGCCTGTCTCAAACAAACAAATCTTACCAAATTCGCTTTACAGAAGCATTTTCTGTAATATTACAGAAGGTCACAATTCAGGCACCGATCCCTGTGTAAAATGGACGATGTTAGGGGACACTGTAAGCGAATTAGGTGAGAGAGTGCCATGACCCCTACAATCGATGCCACTCTGATTGACCTTCTCTCTGGCTTGTCACTGAAGCCGTTCACTGGGCATTTTAGTTGCCTGAGGAGGGCCAGCTGGGTGTGACAGAGGGTTTAATGTCCCCAGTGGAATATACAGTTATGGCATCATAAACCATTGCATACATACTGCCTGAAAGTCACACACCAGCGCTGTCCGTAAGAGAGATAGTCTACTGGATTTCAAGATGGAGCGATACATACCAAGTTCATAGAGGTGGCCATCAACGTTGTTGAACAGAATAAAATGAAAATTCACTTTGTCGTCTACCTGAAAAAGAGTTAAGGAAAAAAATTAATGAGGTAGTAGATGAGCTTACTAAAAACATTCTCTTACTCTCTAAGAGAGGCGGAAATGCTGGAATAGTTGGGCCAATTCTGCAGGCCTATGAATTTTTAGTGGGAAGGAGATCAGGCCCAGGGAAGGGTATCTTGCTTTAAGTCCAGAAGGCAGGAGACAGCTGTGCCAATGCAGGTCCTGGCTTCCAAGTTAAATTTGGCCTTGAGTTTAGGGGGTCTCTTCACACATTTTTTGGTGCTAGAGCTGAACCCATGGGCCCTTACAAGCTTAATCACAGAATCAACCACTGACTTATTCTAATTGCCAAGCAGACTTCTCAGACTATTGGAGGGGAACAGATCAACTCTGTGTTATCAGAGGAGGATTTTCTGCGGTCAGTTGGCCTTGCTGGGCAACACCTGCAGGCCACTGTATTGTGGTAAGTGATTACTATAACTGTCCCACAGGAGACAAAGGGCGCGTGGGTTCAGTCTGGCTCAGGTCTGGACTTGTATTGGTATTTACCCGACACTGGCCCTCCTGGGCCACAGAGTCATGTGCTGCCTGAATGGCCTGCAGGAGACAGAAAGCCATTATTAGCATGGGGTACAGCCCTCCAGAGCTATGTAAAAACGATGCTACAGAAGCCCTTTTCTACCTCATTCTTCTCAAAGCACTTGGCTCTGTCTTCGGGGGACATCTTCTCCGTTTCAGAAAGAAACTGCTTCAGGACTGACCCGTCCTCTTAAAAAGAAAAGGTACAGATTAGCATAGATTGGACAGTAAGATGGCCCACACAATTCTTGGCCACTTAGGCCTTTCTACGCCTGGCCCTCTGACCCACCTCGACCTATACATGGCCTCCAGGGATGTGGATGAGCCTGCCCTTTTACACAGAGTTTCCCAACCCTCCCTGCTGCTGCAACCAAGCCAGACAGGCTGACCCACCCTTCCAGGGCAGATGCTCTTTCTTTCCCCTGGTCCCAGACACCCCAATCCTGCCCAACCTGTGTCTCAAATCTCGCCACTTCCTTACAGCATCCATATACTTGAATCATGTATTAGTGGGGTCCTAATCCCTTAAAAGAAGAGCCTACTATGTCTGCGGCTGACTCTGAACCACTTCCCAATTCAAACAGAACACCTATTATCTATACAGAGACACAACTACACTCTAAACTAGTAACAGTTCCAAAAACCTAGGCCTTTATTTCAGAGTGGCAAACGGAATGTGGAATGCCATTAGCATAGATGCCTTAAGACAGAAATATGAAGACCTATGCTCCCTGGCTTAGAGCCCAGTGCAGTCACCTTTGGTATCAGCAAGGCCACTGATCAATGGAACATGGACAGATGGTAGGAAACCCAGCTGCAGCAAGAATGGTTCCAAATGACCTCAGCTCCAACTCAGCTCTAAATTTAACAGATTCGGTTCACGGGGATTATTTCAAAATCTGGGGAGGCTGAGCGTGGGCTCAATCCTATAGTACTTGCCTACCCCTGGACTTGATCCCCATCACTGAAAAAAAGAAAATCAAAACCTGGGATTGATGGGGATCCTCTAACTCCACGGAAGGCCTAAGTCAAATGAACTCTTGGATCTCGGCTCTAAGGCGATTCTAACACTCCCCCTGA